AAAAAAAAAAAATCCAAAAACAGTTAAAAAGAAAAGAATGTTCATTTATACACAGTAAAAAAAGACTAAAAACTCAAGCTTATACCAAATGATAAAAAGTAGCCAGCAAGTTTTTTTTTAAGTATTACCAGCCAGAATTCAAAAGGCTTTCTGGAGAGGAGGATGCCTAACAAAAGGCTAGTATTGAAAAGAAATGGAAAATAAGTTTAGAGCCAGTAACAGATCATGTATCACATGCTCACAGCCCCAGGACCCATCCCAGAGCCAAAATAAGAGATCTTGGTGCTAGTGACCTACAGAAGAACACTAAATGTCTTCCCAGAGCTCGGGATATAGTTACAGTAGAGCCCTTGACCAGAATGCACAAGACTTGTGTTCAATCCCTAGAATTGAGAAAGAAACAATGGGAACAAAACAGGGATCCAGGGAGAGCAGGCTGGAGCCACCTGCCTCGCCCCACCCCCCACCCCCAGTGCTGGGATTAAAGGCATGCATCACAATGCTCAGCTTAAAATAGTGAAATTTATAACATGATACAAGTTTTTAAAGCTGTTGTATATCATAATTTAAAGTATGAACATTTTGAAATGCTAAAAAGAAAATCAACTGTTTCTGTATAATAAACCCAAACATTGAACAATTTTAACACTAAAAAAAAGTTTGTTTTATATATCCTTATCCTTTAGTGGCCTAGAACTATTCAACTATGCAGTTGAATCTAGCCTTGAACTCTCCACCCTTCTGCCTCAACCTCTGATTGCTGAGATTAAGATAGATACCAAGCACACCTGGCTCTCTAGCCTTTCTATTTTAATATCAAAGACCAAGAGAATGGAAGAAGATTGGCTAACTCTCTTTAGTAGTAGGCATTTCAGCAAATGTACATCATCTGAAAGGCTGACAGCATACGTAAAGGCAGTATAACCCCTAAGAACAAAGTCCCACCCTTTGTTCCTACTGGAATATTCTCAGTACCTATGTCCTCCAAAGGGATCATGCACATAATAGACACAAGTGTGTGTGTGTATAGTCATGACGAAACATAAAGAGTAAACAGCAAGAAAGCAGCTCAGTGTTCAGTCTTCAGAACACAAGGAGGTCCACACTTAGAATGCTCCTCTCCACTTTCATGACAGGAGATAAACTGAGCTTAGGTGCCATTACTCACTCAGAACCAAAGTGCAAGAAGAACCTCCCCTCACACTGATTTCTCCATACTGGTCGGACAGAGCAGCAGGCAGTGCCATGAGCTGGCTTTGTCCAACCTGTGCTATAGCAGCCAACTGTGTTAGGCCCTACAGCCCCAGTTCACCTCACTCTGCATCATTCTACCTTATCCCACAGCATCTCTTCCAGCCAGCCATTCTTTCCAAGATAAAGTCTCCAAACACGGGGCCAAGTACAATTAAACTAAGTATAAGCCGGGAGGCAGTGGCCACGCCTTTAAACCCAGGACTCGGGAGGCGGAGCCAGGCAGATCTCTGTGAGTTCAAGGCCAACCTGGTCTACAGAGTGAGCTCCAGGACAGGCACCAAAACTACACAAAGAAACCTTGTCTCAAGAAATTAAAAATAAATAAAAGTGTTAAAAATGTCACAATGCAACTCATTACCTTGTATATTAAAAAAATTAATAAAAGAAAAAGGATGAAGTCTCTACTGTCCCTTCTTCATGCATCGCTGAGTCTTTTGTTTGTTGGTTGGTTTGTTTGTTTGTTTTTCTCCTTCGTAATGCTCTCCTAAGCCATCTATACTCACCTGCAGTTCACTGCACTGGGTATCATCACCCAAATAGCCCATCAGAGCTCTTTATAATTTCTGAAAGAGAGAAAAAAGCCTTTAAATACCACAGATTGCCATATGTGGTGGCACACACCTGTAATCCCAGTACTGGAAAGACTAAGGCAGAAGAATCTTGAATTTGAGGTTAGCCTGGGCCATACATCAAAACGCTGTCTCCAAAAACCACACAACAAACAAAGACACGAAGAATTAATAATCAATGTATCTATCACTGCAGAAGTATCTGTATCCACTATGCACAGCATCTGGCCTTTCTGTCCACAGTAATGCAATCACATATAGCAGGACCAGCCATGGACCAAATGTGCCCTGACACAGCCTCTAGACAGAAAAGCTTTTGCACTATTACTGAACTGTGCAACCTTGGGCAAGTCAGTTTCTCTAGGCCTACATTCCCTCATCTGGAAAATGAGAAAGTTAGGAGTAGAGGCTTGCCTAGCATTCATAAAGTCTTGAGTTCAATACTCAGAACTGGCACAGTGACACATGTCTATAATCCCAATATCCAAGAAGTGGAGGCAGGAGGATCAAAAGTTCAAAGTTGGGGATGGAAATATGGTTCAGCACTTCTTGTTCTTTCAGAAGATCAGGATTCAATTCCCAGTACCTACATGGTAGCTCACATCATCTGTAACTCCAATTCCAGGGGATCCAGAGCCCTCTTCTGTATCCAAGAGTACCAAACATGCATGTAGTACACATACATACAGACAAAAAACATTCATAAACATAAAACGAATCTAAAAATTTTTTATTTAAAAAAGTTTAAGGTTATCCTCAGCTACTTAGTTCAAAGACAGCCTAGGCCATAGGAAACTCATCTCAAAAATAAGGAAGGTAAAAACACAAGAAAGTAAAGCTAACCCGAGATAAAAGCACAAAGCTTTCCAGAAAGAACACCAGAACACCATTCAACTGCTACATTAGTTCACAGTCAAGTCTAAATTTCCTCCTTCCCAAGATGGACATAACTGTCATGTTAAGATGCTGGAGAATTGGGGATGACAGGTTATAAAAAGTCCATAGTAAACAGATGGGGAAGCTTATCACAGAATCCAACAATAGAGGCTGGAGAGATGGCTCGGTAGTTAAAAGCACTGACTGTTCTTCCAGAGGACTCAGGTTCAGTTCCCAGCACCCACATGGCAGACCACAGCTGTCTGTAACTCCAGTTCTAGGGGATCTGACACTCTCACACAGACCTACATGCAGGCAAAACACCAATGCATGTGAAAAAATAAATAAATAAAAATTAAAAAATCTAACAATGGTAGTAGGGCGTAGTGGCACATACCTTTACTCCCAGCACTCAGGAGACAGAGGCAAGATTTCTGTGAAAGGCCACTCTGGTCTACAAAATGAGTACTAGGACAGCCAAGGTGACATAGAGAGACCTTGTCTCAAAACACAATAAACGAACAAACATATAAATAAATAATGATCAGCAAAATCAAAACTTACCCAGCCTGACCTCAAGACTAATTGTCTACTTAACAGTTTGACAGGAGACTGTCACTAATGTTTAACGTCACAGTAGAGCAGACTAGACATTCAGTGTCTAGTTCAACAGCCATGCCTTCTGGATTTCTCTCTACTTCTACCGCTGCCAATGCACTTTAGGATCAGAGCGGTCTTCCAAACTTAAATGACACCCAGCTGTTTACCAAAGCCATGCAGAAGAGGGAGACTGAGGGAGAACAGGGGCTTGGAGGAGGTGGGTGTTTGTTTTTAACTTTTTAATATGGGAGCATGGTATGTGAATGTGTTTATGTGTACACAGATGCATTTAAATATTTTTATATATGTCTGTAAATGCACACATGTGCAAGCACCACAGAAGCCAGAAGACCTGAAGCTATGGGCAGTTGTGAGCCACCCAATGCGGGTGCTGGGTACTAAAATGTTCTTAACCACTGAGCAAGCTCTCCAACCCCATTCTTTTTGACTTTGTCTATACTCATGTTGCTCAATTTAACTTACCATATGCAGGCATGATTTTTGTGCAATTTTTTAAACTATATTATTTATAAATATACCTGACAGGCTGTGTTTACAAGAATATTTCCACCATAAGTTACATTTCCACAAAGGAAAGTGAAAAAGCAAATTCAGATGTGATAAGAAAACTGAAAATATGGCACAGAAATAAAACTCACAATCATTCACATTTCAGAGTAAATCAGCCCAAAAATGTGATGAGGACAGGAAAGACAGCTCAGTGGGTAAAGTTACTCTCTGCACAAGCCTGACACCGGAGTTTAGTCTACAGATCCATTGAAGGTGGAAGTTGAGAGCCAATGCCACAAAGTTGCCCTTTGACCTCTACATGTGCATACACAAACCCTAAAACTTTTAATTAAATATATGTGTGTATACATTTATACATATATATAAACCATGCTTCTTATTCAAAAGCTAGACAAATTTGTTTCACCAGACTCCCTGTTCTTAGAGAGCTGACCCAGAATGGTTATAAGCATACAAAATTGATAAGACTTTTGACTTAAATTGGAAACTTTCGATTTCTTTCAGATAACTGAAAGTGTAACAAATACATGACATATATATACCACATAAGTACTTATAGGTGTAACATATGCAAGTAGTCTTCATTCTACATCAGTGATAGTCTTGAAAAGAGGAATAATGACTCTCAGATTCAGGATTTTTAAGTGTTATGTCAGCCACCCCTAGAGTGGCAAGAGAGTATTTTGTGCCACTGCTTAGCTCATGCTACAGAAGTAACCCTGACACATCAATGCCCTAAAGAGACGGGTGAGCTGATGTGGCACTCTCTCCATGTTACACTTCGCTTCTAGAAAACATTTCAAAGTACTACTTAGCAATCCAATTACATTTGCAAGTATGTTTACCTAAGTCTGTAAAAATAAACAACCTGAAGAACCTTATTGCTTGCACTGGGCCTGCATTAGGATCTTAGTGATTGACAGACAATTATAGGCTGATTTGCATTCAGTGTTACTGTCAAGCCTACTTCTTAAACAGAGAACACAGATGCATTTATAAGATTTAGTTGACTTCCCTGAGGGGCCCTCTACACTATTCTCAGCTTTTCATGAAAACGTGGCATTTTTTTTAATTTCTTTCTAGACTTTTTTATTTCATGTGTATGAGTGTTTTGCCATACACATTTGCCTATATGTATGTCTGTACACCACATACATGCCTGGTGCCAGGTCAGAAAAGGGTGCTGCATCCCCTGGAACAGATAGATGGTTCTAAGTGGTCATGTAGATACTGGGAACTGAACCCAGGTCCTCTGCAAGAGCAACAAGTGCTTTTAATGACTGAGCCATCTCTCCAGAGCATAAGCTGCAACTTTTAAGCTTCACAAGGCCTTCCAGAAGCAGAAAGGACTTCTGTTTCTTAGCATTTTTCTCCTAGCCATTGAAGTCTGTAGAATCCCTATCTATACAGACTTTAAAAACAATGATGACTAGATTCTTTTAAGAAGCTATATATATAAAGATGAAGTTCTTATTAACAAAGGCAGGCTGGGCGGTGGTGGGGCACGCCTTTAATCCCAGCACTTGGGAAGCAGAGCGAGGCCAGCCTGGGCTACAGAGCGAGATCCAGGACAGACACCAAAACTACTCAGAGAAACCCTGTCTCGGGGGGAAAAAAAAAAACCCAAACAATGGCAAAAGGCTAACTTCCCAGCTAAAAGAGAGGTACCAGACTATATTAACTGACTCTTCCAAAAATACCACCTTATCTAAAAACAGTGCCCTAGCTTACCAGCAAAAAGACAGACTAAGAAGTCATGTCTTTACACAGTTCAAAGACACAGACTTCTATTCTGTTGTAACCTTTGACACTATGGTTTTTCCTATTTTAGATACTTCATGTAGCTGGCGGTGGTGATAGTGCAGGCCTTTAATCCCAACACTTGAGAGGCAGAGAAAGGCGGATCTTTGAGTTCGAGGCCAGCCTGGCCTACAGACTGAGTTCCAGGACAGCCAGGGCTATGCAGAGAAACCTTGTCTTGAAAAACAAAATCAAACAAAAAACTTCGTGTAACAATTTGCTTGATGGCCATCCACTAGCTTCACTTTGAAGAGAATACTAACACTTTGTCTACATGAACGGAAACTGTGGAAAATGTCTCGACACAATTCGGGCTAAGGACAGTAGTTCCACACGATGAACTTCTCCTAAATACTCCATTTCTAGACTACAAGTAAGAACATTGCTGGAGGCCAAAACAGGTACTTGGCTCCTGGCCACAGAACTACCTATAGATTTCAAAGAAAACAAGAGGAAGAGTTAAAACTGACAGGTCTAAGACAAGAATATGCCTCCATCCACACAACAAAAATAAACTTAAAACTCTGTATTTGCTCTGCCAAAAATGAAAATGACAATAAGCACTGCTGAGTTTCCATACCAGGAGAAGTGCTAAGAGCTGAAAGAGCTCGGTCTATGTCCACTCCCTTTCCTAAGCTCCCCACGCGCTTTGCTGCAGTTTAAAGGCAAAGTGTCCACTATAGGCTTCAATCTTGAGGGGCTGGAGAATACAGCGTATTCTTAAAAAGATGTACTAGATATGAAAAGTTTGTGAGGATTTCAAAATCTAGATGCCAAAATACATTAAGGGAGGGGTAGTAAACAAATCTGCAATAAATCAATTGACCATACTTATATTTTTCTAAAGCAGTGGTTCTTAACCTTCCTAATGCTGCAATCCTTTAATACAGTTCCTCATGTTATGATGACCCCTAAACCATAAAATTATTTCATTGCCTCCCCCCCAAAAAAGCTTAACATCGGTGGCATGCACCTTTAATTTCAGAACTCAGGGAGCAGCGGCAGGTTCCAGGCCAGCCTGGTCTACAGAGTGAGTTCAAGGATAGCTAGGCCTACACAGAGAAATCCTGTCTCAAAAAAACAAAACAAAACAAACAAAAAAATTATTTTGTTGCTACTGTAATTTTGGTACTGTTAGAAACTATAATGTAAATATCTGACATGCAGGATAGCTGATATGCAACTCCCAAAGGGATCAGGACCCACAGGTGGAGAACTCCTGTTCTAGAGCAACCACAGTAAGGTATCTTGTTTGTTTGTTTGTTTTCGAGACAGGGTTTCTCTGTGTAGCTTGGTGCCTGTCCTGGAACTCGCTCTGTAGCCCAGGCTAGCCTCGAACTCACAGGGATCCACCTGCCTTTGCCTCCCGAGTGCTGGGATTAAAGTGCTAGGATACCAGCTAGCCAGAGTAGAGTATCTTTTTTTTTTTTTTTTTTTTGGTTTTTCGAGACAGAGTTTCTCTGCGTAGCTTTGCGCCTTTCCTGGAGCTCACTTGGTAGCCCAGGCTGGCCTCGAACTCACAGAGATCCACCTGGCTCTGCCTCCCAA